ACTTTCAGGTAATACTAGCATCACCACACAGAACTAGACACGATTGGTTTTGTGACCTGTCATGTTTGATTAGATTTTTATGAACACCTCTGCCATAGACATCTACATGTGAGCCTTGACTAGTGCTGTGCTAGCTGTAATAACAGCATCTCAAATTGTACTGAACGAACTGCAAGAGAAGTAAGAGGTAGTCAGTCCAGTATGATGATATTCTTCCCCTCCACCATTTCAGAATACTAATTTCAACTGGAAATTATACTAGAAAGGCTTATCCAGGGTCCACTTTTCAGTGTAATATAAACCTGAAGCACAAGGCAACAGATTTGCTTTTTTATTTGTGCTCTGTTTTCATTAAAGCCCATTAGTCTTTTCCTTAGGGGATGCTGTAATTTAAAAAAAAAGGAATGTGTTAAAAGAGCATTTTTTAAAAGAAAAGAAAAAACTCCTCTAAAATTACCATGCAATATTTTGCCTTTATGCAAACTTCCCCTTGCTGAGAAATTTACTGCATTGTTAATATGAATTTCTCGGGGAAGAAGGGACAGGTTGGTGTTTTTAAACATAATAAAGTTTGGTTTTAAATGTAGCAAAGGTAGGCAATTCTAAAGGCCCTGATCAATCACTAAGAAGCTTTGTTGTAAAAAAATACTTCTTTAGAATACAAAGCAGGCTTTTCAGAACATTCAGGCATAAAAGAGGAGGGAAGAGTGAGAGAGGAACATCACAAAAGCAGGCATAATTGATTCATAACATGTACTGAAGAGATGCAAAACAACAATGAAATTACATACTATTCTGTTTTCCTGTAGCTCCTTGCATATGAATTGACCAGCTTGCATCCCAGTTCTGCTCTGTATTATTAATTTTATTAAGCTGTAAGTTCTTATATTTCAGTCTGTTGTCAGCTTTACAGATTTTTACAGCAGCAGTTGAAACGTAGTGAAGCTGAATGAATGCTTCTTGTGCTAAGTCTTCTGTGTCACTCCAGATACCAGCGCAATCTCACCGCAGGCCTTCCTTTAAGTCCCACTAAGCCTCCCAGTAAAAGCAAACCATGCTGCCATCAAGATAATATCCAATCAATTAAGCATGTCTGTGAAAGCATTTCTTAAAAAAATGGTGGGCCTAAGCTTATGAAAGCCTTTCAGACAGCTCTTATCGTAAAGCGACACTGACATTTGCAGGCTTAATTTATGTCTTTGAGAGACATGGTAAAGCTAGAGGAAAAGGAGGACGAGGATGCTGCCTGAGAAGGAAGTCTTTTCTGGTGCAGCTCCTCCCATTTACCTCTATTTACTGCCACGGAGTCCAGCATAGGCTTCAGTTTTGCATTCAGCTTCACTAGACACTGGAAGAAGATTAAAAAAAAAAGAGGGTGAGAGAAAAAATACTGACTCCTCTGATGGACAGTCCAGGGAGTAGCAGGGTAAAAAGAGTTTAATATGCACCACGCCCCACCCTCTTCACCCCAGCTGTAAATTCCTCAGTAGGTAAAGCTTGTTGTTCCCATTGATACCTCTTTATCTTACTTGTTTAAGTAGGCCACCAAAAATCTCAAAAAAGCATATAAGGTGGCAGAATTGCTGCTCAACTAGTTTAGCTTCGTAATCCTAAAAGATAGTCCTCTTGAGGCATCCCCCAGGTGCCTGAGGCTATCTGGCTGCTGATGTCTATGAGCAGGAGGTCCACTGGTTGGATGACAAGTTGGACAGAGCTGGAATAACTTTCAGATTCTCCCTAGTGAGAGGGAGAGAATTCTAGTGAGAATTCTTATTTCCTATAGATGAATAAACGACAACAGTATGGTGCTTTCTAAAGCTGGCAAAAAATCCATTTCTATGTGCTCGAAATAAAGTTTTCTTTTTAGATTGCACTGAAATCACCTCTTTTCTACATACCCAGTCCAAAGCTCACAGAAGCCAGGAAGAATCTTTTATCTGGTTTCAGCTGGCTTTGAATCAGCCCCAAAATTACATAATCCCTGCACACCTTTGCTAGATGTTTATTTTACCTTCCCCTTTAGTATCAAATACTTATGTGGAAAGACGACAAGTGCTTCACTTGGGTTTGTCCCTACATTAAAGAGAGACAGAACCTCATTAACAGCAGCACACAGACGTGAAGAAAGGGTTAACCAGTTACCTCCAAAGCAGTCATGTAATGTGCTCATTCAGGACAAAGGAGTATTATTCTTTTGCAGCTTTTTTTATTAGCAAGAAATGGGTTTTGCTGTGAGCTGGTTATCATGCTTTCTCTGATAGCATAGAAACTACGTATTTGTCAGTGGAAATAAAGGGTTGGTGCAAGGAAAAAAAATAATGACAGAGAAGACAGCAAAAGTTGTTTTTCTAAAAGTGCAGAAAATTATTAAGGAAAAGAAAGGGGAAGCAGGTGCCTTTGCAGTTGATCATTTTCATTATTTGCTTTAAATAGCAGGGTTAACGGCAACCACTTTAAATGGTCCCCAGAGCCCAGACTCCACTAAGGAACTGGGTTTTTTTTATAGCTAGTCTGCAAGCCATGGGAGCTTGGTTAGCTACTGAAGTAAGTCTTGGTAGATTTTAATTGAGCTATTATATGATAATTAAGGGTTAATGGCCTGATTTTAAGATGTGCTGAAAACTTGCAATTTTAGTTGACTTCAGTAGGAAATATGAATGCTCAGCACTTCTGAAAAATCACACCATGAGTAAGTAGCTGATTTGTGTGGAACTTGAAGCAAATCCACTTGAAGTTATTTCCTTAGAATATGGCACAGATGGGGCAGATAATTTTGCAACCTTGGGCCTGGGGTAAGAGGGAGCGTTTACTGCAGTCTCTGCCACATATTGCTCGCTGGTGACAGTCATTCATTTGATAGAACGGACATGGATTTATAACATTTCCACCACTGTGCCTCAGAACTCCCCATTTTTAGCTCTTCATTTCAGACCATTGTGTATTCTTCAAACCTGATTTGGTGGAGTCCAAAACAGAGGGGCAGTAATACATCATAAACACCTGAAAATCCTGAAAAGCTCACTGCTGTTATCGTCAGCACCTGCATTACCACTACAAACTCAGTGTCTAGAGGTAGCACATTAGATATTCAACTCTTGACAGCAACTTATCAGATCCTTTCTGTGCAAAGCCAGTATCCATCCACTGGCAGTTAAGCTTGCTAGTGTTTCTTAAATCTTGAAAAAGTTTTCGTGAAGTATTTTTTTCCAGTATACAATTTAGATTTAAAATAACAAAAATAATCAGTGTTTAAATCAGTCTTTAAAAATCAGTGTGTTTCAAACGTCTCTAAGCACAAAGATGGCATTCTGCGCTCACACCCGGTTGGCCCCAGGATCTGTAAGCACAAAATGCAGTACCGTCTGTTCCTCTCATAAATGCTGTACCAGCAACCTATACCTGCTACAGGCAATGTAGAGGAGAAGGAGCTCATTGGGACAGTGGACTTTGGCTGTGCAGCTCTAGGCTGCGTCTGTGTCCTTTCTGTACTGTTTTTTTTTTTTTCCAAGACTGACCACAAGACCATGATGTTTTCAATCCTAGCGCCAGGGAGCAAATGGAGAGGTCTGGGCATGACCTACTGCTGTGCCCATCCCTCCAGGCCTAGGCAGATGCCCCGCTTTTATGGTAGGAGACAGCCCTCTCACGTACAGTGCCAGGAGGATTATGAGTGCTCGAGCTGCTTAGTTCAATTAGCTTTGCATCGACTACAGCATAGACCAGAAGCCCAAGTAGATTTGGAATGGATTCAAGAAGCACCCCCACAGTTCTACAGAAATCACTGTATCTTCTGAGATGTAAATGCATTTTAAATCCAAGAGTAAATACATATATTTCTTAGAAATATATACCTAAGTCCATATTACAGAGTCCAATAACCCAGGTGCAACAGAGGTTACGAAGTAAATAACAAGAATGGTTAACTGATAACATTAACTTTGATGAAATAAATTAAAAGGAATATTTAAGAAAGAATAAACCATGTCTTTAATATTCAGTTTTACCATAAACAAGCAATTAATTCTATGGAATACTTACTTACAAAAATATAGTGCAATTTTAAGAAACTTTATTTTGTTACACATTAATTTAGATTAGGGATACTCGACAGTGCAGATTTTGCACTTGGTCTATAAAACGTCTTTATTCAGACATTGATTTGATGTTTAAACCACTGCTTCTGTATTTAGTGTCCTTTCACTTTGGGACTCTTTCATTCTGATCTAGCCTTTTAATTAAACCAAATACTATAATTCCTATGGAAAGTAGCTTTTATTTTATTTTTTTCCAGCTACCGAAGCATTTCAGTAGGACTCTGATACAAAGTACACAAATTGGATTTTATTTCTGCTTGAGATGTAATTAAAACCTCATTTGATTACTATATATCTGGCCCTGTTTTAATTATTAAACTCCAGTAATCTATTTTCTTTTATGAAGCTTCTGGGAAATTATCTCAAAAGCAACACATTTCTCGCCCTTCTGGCAGGCTCTCGACCATTTACTGAATTACATTCATAGCACCTGTTCCTGATCCGGATTAAACCACCAATTTATTCCCAAAGCTATTTAAGGTTATTTGGCTGTAGCCTAGTCAGGGTTTTCTACCTCCTGGCTGCACTTTTAACTTTCTGTTTTATTGCATGAAAACCCCTTGATGTACTGCTCCTCCAGGCCGCTATTTTTGATGCATGCCTCTTATGAACAGCTTTGCTGGTCATCTGTCTAATTTGGTATCCAGCTTCTTAACACTCAGTTTATTATTTGCTTTAGTAGGAAGAGGCTTGGTCTTCAGCAGCTGTCTGACGTGGGACAGCACCGCAGAAACTCCTAGCTCCAGAGAGGCCCTTTTTCCTCGTCCCTCCTTGGGGCAGCAGGCAGGCTGTGAGCCAGCGGGCAGCCAGCTGGGGACGGGGCCGGGGGCTGAGGGAACCCCTGCCCCGGGGGGTTCCCGTCTCTCCGCCTGCGACCTTGATGCCCACTCGCAGTTCTGCCGCTGCAATGCAGCTGCCTTGCTACACAGCAGTAAGTACAGGATTGGTGAGCCTTCCCGTTTTATCTCCTTTGCCGTAAAAGCTGTTCTTAATCGCAGAGTGATAAAGCGTGCTGGAAGTGGTCATGCTGGCGGCTGTGTGCTCCGGCGTTAGGAAATCCAGATAGGTTTGCAGTTCCCTTCTGCATGCCTGTATTACCTCAGATGCGTGACTAAGCTGTTTCTCAGAAAGTTACTGTATAGCACTGACTCTTCCTTACCACCTTCAATAATTTAGGTATCTTTTGTGACTGTGTACTGCTCTGCCCACAGCATACTTTCACAAGGTATAGCTCCTCTTACATATAAGCTCCTCCAGCACAAGAAAAGGTTAAAGACACTTCAGCAATACCTTGTGTGCACCAGGGACAGGGGCAGAGCTGCCTGAGGGAAGAGGTCAAAAGGGAGAGAGCGTGAGATATTCAGAGGAAGCTATTTATGGGAGAAGGTAGAGTGTTTTTTCTTGGGTATAGAGATGTATTTCTCCTTAGGTATATTTTGCTGGATAAGGATAGAAAATGCAGAAATAGTAGAAGTAGCAACAAAGCCCTTTGGGGAGAGGGTGATGGGTAGCAGTGGAGGCATCTTCATCTGCTACATCACCGGCATCTCTGGGAAAGGATGTTATCTGAAGCAGCCAAGATGCAGCGCAGGTGTAGCCAGAGTCTAAACTATTGCTAAAGCAAATACAACATTTTGTTGTAATCTAATACCAAATCCTTTTAAAGAGGAGCACGGCATGCTCTAACTTAGAAACACTGCAGGACCTCCAGAGTATATACTTTTCTTTTTTATCCACCCCCGCGCTGGAGATTCTCATCCAAATATTGACCAATTGTGACCTTGCTTAACTTATGAGCTTTGACAAGCTCACGGAAGTGTGGTTGCGGGTCTAGTATTTGTAAAGTGAGTTTATGGAATGAGACCATATAAATTCATTTTTATGACTGAGCACATATCAAAAAGTTATAGGTCTCAGTGTTCACTCTACTTTGGAACCCAGTGGTTTCTAATGAATCACTTTTATTATGTAGGCAGTTTCTGAGTTGGAAGGGAGGATTAGTGACCGAGAAGCCATAGGGATAAATTCAGACCTGGTGTAAGCATATGAAGCATTGCTGAAGTCAAGAGAGTCGTGACCAGTTACAGCAAAGCTGAATTGGACTCCTGAGTTTTGCTGAAGTGGCTTTCACATGAGAATACATAGGCCAAAGGTGAGCTATCTATCTGAAAGTCCTTGAACTTCAGATTAGTTCAGATAAAAGGGAACCTGTACTGCAGTCATCTACAGATCTGATCTTCATAATACAAATACT